TGTGGCACATGCCTGTAAGGCTGAGATAGGAGGATGGAGAGTTCAAAACCAGCTTCAGCAATGTCAAGGCACTAAGCAACTCAGTGAGACCCTGTCTCTAAATAAAATACAAAAAGGGACTGGGGATGTGGCTCAGTGGTCCAGTGCCCCTGAGTTCAATCCTCAGTGGGGGGGGGGGGGAGGCACACACACACAAAAAAACCCTATGTGTATCATTCAACAAATACATGCTGAGCTCATTATCATCTGTTAGTCACTGTTCTTGGGTAACAGAAAATAAGACTGATCTTTCTCAGTGGTGCTGGGGATTGAACCCTGGGTCTTGTACATACAAGGTAAGCACTCTACCAACTGAGCTATATCCCCAATACAAGACTTATTTTAAATAAATTCTTTCCTTAGTGACGGTGGATGTCAAGTTGGATAGTTAACTAAGATTGACTTACTTAAAGTTCTCTTAGATGCTAATTTGATTAAGAAAAGAGATATTGTTAATAAGGGACATTGATGGGGCTGGGGTTATGGCTCAGCGGTAGAGCGCTCACGGAGCACTTGTGAGGCCCTGGCTTCGATCCTCAGTACCAGATATAAATAAATAAATTAAATAAAGGTATTGTGTCAACTACAACTAAAAAATATTTGAAAAATAAAAGTGGGGGGGCATTGAGGAGTGAGTGACTACAAAAAAGTGGACATTTAAACAATTTTCATTCAAACCAATTTCCTTTTCTTGGCTTGAGGGTAAATTGSCCTCAATCAGAAGAACTGTCAATGTTGGGATCTCATGCAAGTGTTCAGAGAAGTAAATAGGTCCTCCAGAATCAGAGTACATTATGCTAGCAAATGGATTTTTTTTTTCTGTCCTTATTCTTCACCCTATATCTAAAAGCTGACCCAGATGTACAATAACAAAGGTTGAGAATCATTTTTTTGTTCATTTGTTTTATCTGTAAAATTTACACACACAGTTTTCCTTACTTGCGTAAACAAAGCTTTGGTAGAATTTCAAACTAGAATGCCCAAACTTACAAACAGATCTCTTCTTGTCTGTACATCTATAAATAGTCAACTAAATAAACATCAGTCACTCTAGAGTCATCTATAGCATCTCATCTGGCTCTGAGAAAAGTCACTCAAAAAGAGTTGCTGGAATCTTTGTTATGCAAAGGTAAAGTGTGTTTACCTTTACCTTTGCAAAACAAATG